ATATTATACTTGTAATTATGGAGTCATTTTTACAATGTAATTATTTATGTATGGTGCAATGTGTATATGGACAAAGAACAGAAAATGCACTTTGGCTTATATAATTCTTTCAATACAGATTTTTTTTTTTTAAGAAAAAAAGGAAAAAAAGAAGAAAAATTATACAGCAAAAATAGGAGAAAAAGCCTAATTTTGATGTATGGTTTTTTGGAAATATTATTAATACCCAGACAAAAAAGCTAATACCAGTCACTCATTGATAATAAAGTATTCGCATTATGGGGGGGGATTTAATTGTCTTCTTTCTTCCCCCCCCCAAACTGAAGGTCACAGCAGTGTTTGCTGGGGTGCACTGCACTCAGGGGGATCCATAGGGATTGTCTCCCATCTCAGTTAGGACCCTCAGGGAAACAAGGGATGAGGTAGAAGGCTCCAGGAGGAGGGAAAGTAAGGAGAGTTTGAGACTCAGGGAGCTCATGGAGAAGGAGAGAGGAAGATCTCCCAGAGGTCTCATTCAGGGCTGTGTGATCTCTCTGATGACACCAGATAGGTTGGGAACATGGTAAGGATGAGTGTTCACATTCATGACATCAGTGGTCATCAATGAGGATCAGCGGGTGTCAGTGCAGAGCAGAGTAGACCATGTCCAAAAAGCTGCCCAGTAGGACCAGTTTGCATTATCAGCCTTGCACAGAGGTTGTCTGTGAGTCTGGCATCTCCCGGACGTGTTTGGTGGTTGAGAAACAAATGGTAGTTTGGACAACTCCTGGTTGGGTGGATCCTCTGTTGGAGCATGGCCTGAATTTTGGGAAGCTCTCCAGCAACTTGGCGGAGGTGCATTGGATGAGTTGTGTGCAGATTTGTCCTGTAGATCTCCCAGCCCATGTCCAGGCAATAAACTGATTCAGAATTGTTTGGGAAGGATATATTTGCTCTGAGGAGCAATTGCAGCCAAAAAAATGTCCTGGTCAAATGTGCTTGTCTGGGTTGATTTACTTTCTCTGGAAATCCTGGATAAAATCAGGCCCTTTGCTGACTTGTGTGTGAGCTCTACTGCTGTCAGCACAGAGCACCCATGTGCTGGCAGGGGGAGGCTGTACACTGTCTGGCCCCACTGGGTTAGTGAGGTTATTTATTGCCAGGGAGTAGTGCTGCCAAGTCTCTGACTTGTGTTACAAATCCCTGCACCTTTGATTTCCATAAAGTCCCAGTCTCAAGTCTGGTGACTGGGAAGCACCTCAGCTCTCAGCCGTAGAAGGTATCTCTGATGCCTTCATGTTTGCAGAGAAAAACACATGATGAAACCTCCTCAGTGGCTCAAACTCAGAGTAAAACAGGACATAAACTTACTATTCAAAAGCCTTCCTGATGCCTGGCAGGGTTCTGCATTTTGGCATCTGGACTTAGTGTTCCTACCTCAGCCTTGAGTGAGGATGGGAAGTCATGGAATTCAGGAATCATGGAATGGCTTGGGTTGGGAGGGACATTAAAGCTCATTTGTTCTACCCCCTGCCATGGGCAGGGACACCTTCCACCAGCCCAGGTTGCTCCAAACCCCATCCAACCTGGCCTGGAACACTCCCAGGGATGGGGGAAGGTGAGCACTGCATCCCACAGGGAAACAGAGACCTCTGTGGATGTTGGGAGAGACCTGAGCAGGAAATGTTGCAATGACATTTCCACAGTTATTGTTCAAATTCTAAGCACATTTGATGTTTAATTGGGACCACATTGGTTGAATTCCTGCAGCATCAGTATTAATACTTGACATCATTCCTTTTTGTTTGTGTTACAGCCATTCTTAGGGAATGGTGTCAAAACACGTCACTCTCATTCAAAGCAGCTTTCAAGAGCTTTGCAGTGTGTTTTTATCCCCTTTGGCTGCGGTTTGGTGGGTCCTGCCATACCACTCCTCCCTCCCTGGATCACTTTCACATGGTCAGTCAAGAGGCTATTTTGATGTTTTGGGGTTGTTTAAGAGATTTCTCATCATTTTATTGCATTTTACCTGGGAAGAACCAGCCAAGAGCTGAGTTGTTTCTCCCTGTTTCCTGTTCTTTTTCCCAGCATTTTCCACCACCCCAAAAGTTTTGCGTTCACATCCCAAGCTGGCTGCTGCCTCCTCTCCCTGTCCTCCTCCATGGATGCAGCAGTGTCATCATTGTCCACTTTCTACTTTGGACAAAATGGCACCAAGGATGGATTTGAGGGTTAACTTTGGGTTTTCCCTTGAGCAATCCGCTGATGGGGCTTAATTTTTCTCTTTTTTTATTACTCATGTGCTTCCCCAGGAATAAATCCAGAGTTTTATTTCAGTTGACAGCAAGGCTTTAAAGGGAATAAGAAAGGATTTTATGGTGAGGCAATGAAATAAGACATCAAATATCCTTTTCTATCCCATTTTGCCCCTTTAATACATTATTGTATTCATTCACATTTAAGACCCTTTAAAGAAGCTTTAAGACTTCAAAGCTGTTGAACTCCACACTTGACCCTCTCAAAGCTCAGCTGCAGCCTTCCCTGTGCAATCCCCCACACTGGGATTGGCTGCAGGTTGGCACCTGAAGCAGCCCTTGGGGGTGGTTGTGGGTGGAGGACACTTCCATCAAGGAAAGAGGAGTTATTTCCCTGTCAGGGTTTGCAGGAGCAGCTGAACATCAATGCCCATACCCACTGCCCATCTGCCCCAACCCCTATAAAAGCAGGATGGCCACACCATCTTTGTGTTCTTTGTGTGTACTTTCTTCTCCTTTCTGGAGCATTCATGGTGTTCCAACACCTCAGGTAAGTAGCACTTTGTCTCTTGTTCCTTTAAGGTCTATATGGTGTTGCATCATTTAAGGGTAGAGGTGAAAGCAGCCCCTTGGCAGGAGGGTGCTGAGCTGTGCTTGGCCTGAGCTCTGCACTGAGTGCCTCAGGATTGGGGTGCTGCAGGGTTTTGTGTGGTACAGCTTTGTCCTGGGAAGACTGTTGGGTCACTCATGTGGTTATATAATCACTGGGGGCATTTTTTGAAGGGTTATGTTGTGCAGTGCAAGAGAGAAGTGCTTTTTTTATACTGTAATGGTGCTGGGATACCCATTGTGCTGCTCCAGGAGGGCAGACTGAGCTAAAGGAGCTGGGTGTGCAGGGTCCCTGTAGCACCTCTCAACCCTGCATGGTCAGAGGAGACACAGGGGCAGCAAATCCCTGAGCAAACACCTTTCCACCTGTGCTGAAGGGCTCCAGCAATGCTCTGACCCTGCAGTTTGCTGTAACTTGCCAATCACTGTGTGTAACGGTCTGGGTTTGTTGTAGGATGGGAGTGTTGTGTGGATTTGGTGCCTCAGCTGGTCTTCAGCCAGTGAGTCTCACCCCTCCAAGGCAGTGACTCCTCAGTTGGAGCTTCCCCAGACTACAGTCCTCAGGGTTCCTTGTCAACAAGGAGTAAGATCTTGATCCTGCAGCAGAAGCCAAGGTGAATGGTCGACTCACCTGGCTGCTTTTTGGATCATCTGCAGAGGTAGTGGGACATGGAGATGTCCTGAGGTGTTACTTGGGCAGCGAAACTTGCTGGACACCTTTTTTTTGTGAGTGCCAAAGCATCAACAGAGGCATCAGCTGCTTTCTCAGGGTGTTAGGGGTGCTGCCAGGAGGTTGAAGGCTGCAGAGTCTGTTTCTGGCTTCCTTGTGCTAAATACACCCACTGTCTTCTCCAGTCTTGAAATACTAATTCTGGTATTGGACCTGAGTCCTTAGGAGCTTTGATGTGTGGGGTGCATTTATTTGACAAGATCTTCTTAATTTGGTAATATTGGACTTTTTTAGAAGTGCAATAGGCTGATGAGAAGCAGCAAGTTACTGCTGTTGGGTCCCAGAGGCTGCTGCTCCTCCTGTGAGAAGACATTCATCATCCCTGTCCTTGCTGCTGTGACAAATGCCTTTTACTAGCCAGAATGGAAAAGAAATTAATACTAAAAGGATCCACATTCAGCTCTTATTAAAAAAAAGAAGAGGCTGAGATCCCTTTGTGGCACTGGTTTAGCCACAGTTTTACAGGGGATGTCAGTCTTCAGACCAAAATCCTTCTTCTCAGGGTTTTATGTCCACAGTAAGAGCTTGGGGGGCTTGTTCAAGGCATAATTCAAAGCTGAATATTGTCCCCAGTGTGTTGCCTAGCAGGGAAAAGTCAAAAAATCACTGTTGGTGTACAGGGAGGAGCTGGAGGTTTGTTTTGGGGTGTGATGCTGATTGGCTTCATGGCCTGTGTAAGTAGTGGAACATCTCCAGCTCTTTGGGATGTGGATTAATGTTTTTAACAGAGCAATAAAGTTGCTCATCCATGTACCTGTGCTTCCCAAATCTTCAGTAGGCCCTCCAGGCTCAGGCTCTGAGCTCTGTGCTGTAGCTGTGCCTCAGGCCAGGGGGAGGGATGGGAGTGGAGGAAGAGCTGGAACAGCTGCGCTGGGCACGGAGTGGTCCTGGCTCAGAGGATGGAGCTGCTGCTCTCCTGGTGCCTCTGAGGGGTGTGGGATAAGCCTCAAGAGCCAGAGTGGGGTTGGCTTTTTTGCTGACAAACACAAGGACAAAACAAATGTCTCGTGCAGGTCAGTGGCCCTGTGGAGGGCAGTGGGGATGGGGATGGGGCCGTGCGTGGCCTTCGGTTTGAGCGGTTGCGTTTGCTGAGTGGGTCTGATAATGAATCCTTTGCATCTTGGTTGCTCTGAGGTGGATTTAAGCTCAGCTTTGGGTGGTTGCAGAGCTGTATAGAGGCTGAGAGAGACCCTGGTGCCTTCACCCCAGCATGTCCCCCCTGTCCTTTGAGCTGTTTGGGAGCAGGAACTGCCTCAGGTGAACACTGATCTGTCTGATGGATGGCCAACATGGACCACAAGTTTCCTAGAAAGGAAAAATAAGAATTCCTCTCCACTTCCCCTCCCCTGAGGTGAGC